TGTAACTCAGCTTGATCCCTAGGTACGGAACAGTGGAGTGCAACAAGACCATAGCCGCCTCAGCATTGTTCCGGGGGAAATGTGCCATCCATCCTCAGTGCGCTTGAGGAATTTGGCCTGTGTCTTCCGAGTCTTCCTGTGTGCATTGCCCTGCAGGGAGACCATGGAGAAGCATTTCTGCAGATTGATCTGAAGGTTATATTCAGCCAGAATATCAAGGAGAATTCCACAATTGTGAACAAACTGAGAAAAGGAGTCCATGGTCGTGCAGGATTGATGCACCAAAAATCATCAGCATAGATGGTGATGCACTGCTCAACCCATTCCCAAGAAGTCTGTTCGGCCAGGCATGAGAGGATGCTGGTAGTGAGGCAACGCCAAAGAAAAGGGGCAGCTTTACATCCTTGACGAACCCCACGGTGAACAGGAACAGCCGAAGAGAAACCTTTGTGGGAAATGTCATAATGGGTGCCTCGATGCCATTCATGAAGTAAATGAAGACAGTCCCGTCGAACCCCCAAATCTTCCATTCCCTGAAATAAAAGCTCCCTAGAAACACTATCGAAAGCCTTGCTCAAATCAAGGCTGAGAAGTGCACCACCAATCAGTCCAGTTCGATCCAATTTGGATTTCTGCCGCTCCGCAGGGCGCTGGTATTGGGTGATCAGATGGGCAACTTACGGGCAACTTCATGACAGTGGTGTGTGGCACGTGCAATAGCATCTGCAGTGCCCTTGTGGTGTGGAGCGCAGAATGTCCAAAACAGATGCCCGAGCTCTTTCACTCACCAGGCCAATCACCGCTTTGCCAAAAACTTCTTGCAGGGCAAGTGGTCTAAGGTTCTTAGCATTATTGGGAGGTTTACCCGGCTTGGGAAGCAGGAACAAGTGCCCACTTTTCCAGGAGGTCGGAATATATGGGTCAGGTCTATTCCACCAATGATGCAACAGGGACATCAACTTACTAGCAATCAGGCTGGGATTACAAAGTACACTAAGTGATGCACATGTGCCAGGGGCATTGGCCTTCAAAGGCGCTAGGCTCGAAAGCGCTCTCACCAAGTCAGCTTCAGTGAACGGTATCCCTGGACCTGTCGAAGCAAGGAAAGGTGGAAGGGGGTCCCATGCCATGTGGTTTGAACATAGTGTTTCAGGGATGTAAATTCTTCAATCGGGCTTAGAATCCTACCTGAGGCATCTCGAATCTGGATGCGTGCCGTCTCCTCCTTGGGATTGAGCCGCCTGACAAGTGGGTGCAACCGGCTCAAATCATGTCGATCGGCGGCTTGCATGGCATCAGTCATCAGTCAAGACCTGCTGAATGCGGTCCTGTTTGGCCTGAGCCGACGCAATTTGTTGAGCTCGATGTACCTTCCGGTGCTGTGCTATCAGCTGCCAACTCTCGAACATTGTGCTGAGGGTCGCGACCCGAGGTGCTTTGATCAACTTGTACAGTGCCCATTTCTGGGATGCAAGACCCTGGACCTGACCCGTGGTCATGAGACGTGCTGCAGTGTCCGAGAAGGTGTTTTGCGTATCAGAGGTCAGGTGTGCATGCATGTGTGTAAAGTTACCATCATTAGGCCACCTGGCATGTGTCAGATACTGTGTAGTTCGGTGCACATAGTCCTGCCATCTGGATGTACCTTGTGTTCGTTCAGATCGTCCCCGGTTCCGATGTGCAAAACTGATCGAACTCAGTGCAGCTCCTGTCCAAGGTTTTCAGGTCATGGAAATGGAGCATACCAAGGGGCGGTGACCCTGCAACGAGGTGCCCAACAGAGGGCAGCTGGGGATGGGGGAACACTGTCTGGCCTCGTGATCTACCAGCTTCAATCGAGTACATACGAAGTCAATGCGAGATCCAGAGCCTTTGCTGCCGTGAAAAGTGGCCGGCAGGCCGGGAAGCATGGTGTTGACTGCACACAAACCATGTTGCTTGAGGATATCGCACAGTATATGTTGGTCAGGATGTTGAACAACAACAACAACAACAACAACAACAACAACAACAACAACAACAA